CAAAGGAAACCCTCAATAAAGTGAAGAGGCAACCAACAGAATTGGAGAAATATCTCAAACTAGCAACTGATAAAGGATTAATATCTTAATCTATAAAGAGCTCAAAAACTCAACAACAAAACAAAATCCAATTAAAAATGGATAAAGGACATAACAGGCATTTTCAAAGGATGAAATGCAAATGGCCAACACACACATGAAAAAGGCTGCAGCATCACAGCCATCAGGGAAATTCAAATAAAAACTACAATGAGTTTTCACTCACTCCAGTTAGAATGCCTATCATCCAAACATAAAAAAAAAAAAACAATAAATACTGGCAAAGATGATGGGGAAAAGGTACCTAATATAGGAATGTAAACTAGTATAATTATTACGGAAAACAGTAGGGATTTCTCAAAAACTGAAAATAGATTTACCATATGACCAGGCCATCCCATTCATAGGAATTTAACCAAACTAATATGAAATCAGCCTATGAAAGAGTTATCTGCACCCCATGTTTACTGCAGCTCAGTTCACAACAGGTAGGATATGGAGTCAACTCAAATGTCCATCAACTGAAGCTTGGATAAAGAAAATGTGGATATATATAACCTTTGTTCCTATGGAATACAATCAGCCATCAAAAGGATGAAGGAGAAAGGGAGGGGGGAAGATGGTTATCTTCTTGAATTATACCTATAAATACATGAAATCTGTTCTCTTATATTCATAAAAAGTTTTAAAGAAAATATGAATTTATTTTTTCTTTTTTTTATTTAGTAAATATAAATTTCCAAAGTACAGTTTATGGATTACAATGGCTTCCCCCCCCATAATTTCCCTCCCACTCGCACCTTCCATCTCCCGCTCCCTCTCCCATTCCCATTCACATCAAGATCATTTTCAGTATCTTTTATACAGAATTTCGATTGTTCTGAATAGTTTGAGAAGAGCAGTACATGGAACCTTCTCTAGGACGACCACATACTAGGCCATAAAGCAAGTCTCAGCAAATTCAAAAGAATTAGAATCATACGATGCAGCTTCTCAGACCATAGGGGAATGAAGCTGGACATTAGCACTCAGAAATCCATAGAACAGCCGCGCCGCGGCTCACTAGGCTAATCCTCCGCCTAGCGGCGCCGCACACCGGTTCTAGTCCCAGGTTGGGGCGCGATTCTGTCCCGGTTGCCCCCTCCAGGCCAGCCTCTGCTGTGGCCAGGGAGTGCAGTGGAGGATGGCCCAAGTGCTTGGCCCTGCACCCCATGGGAGACCAGGAAAAGAACCTGGTACCTGGCTCCTGCCATCGGATCAGCGCGGTGCGCCGGCCGCAGCACACCGGCCGCGGCGGCCATTGGAGGGTGAACCAACGGCAAAAGGAAGACCTTTCTCTCTCTCTCTCTCACTGTCCACTCTGCCTGTCAAAAAAAAAAAAAAAAAAAGAAATCCATAGAACGTATGCAAATACATGGAGATTGAACAACATGCTCCTGAATGAACAATGGGTCATAGAAGAAATCAAAACAGAAATCAAAACTTTCTGAAGTAAATGAGGAACAGCAAACATACCAAAACTTATGGGATACAGCAAAAGCATGTTAAGAGAAAGTTTATATCAATAGGTGCCTACATCAAGAAATTGGAAGGGCACCAAATAAATGAGCTTTCAATTCACTCAAGGATCTAGAAAATCTGCGCAAACCAGACCCAAATCTAGTAGAGAAAGAAATAATAAAATCAGAGAAGAAATCAACAGATTGAATCCAAAAACATTACAAAAATCAGCCAAATGAGGAGCTGGTTTTTTGAAAAAAAAACAAAATTGACACCCATTGGCCCAACTAAATCAATAAAATCAGGATGAAAAGGAAACAACAACAGACACTACAGAATTAAAAAGAATCATCAGAATTGCTACAAGGACTTGTATACCAGCAAACAAGGAAACTATCAGAAATGGATAGATTCCTGGACACATGCAACCTACCTAAATTGAACCAGCAAGACATCAAAAACCTAAACAGACCCATAACTGAGACCGAAATTGAAACAGTAATAAAGGCCCTCCCAACAAAGAAAAGCCCAGGACCAGATGGATTCATTGAATTTATTTTTCCAAAGTCTAAAGAGACTGGAAAATCAAATGCAATACATGACCTTGACTGAATTCTACAATTTAAACAAAATTTTAAAATTTAAAAATTAAAAAAAAAAAATTTTTAAAAATTAAACAAAATTATATCGAAATTTATTTTCACCTAGTTGGAGGTGGAGGCTAAATATAAATTTAAAAATATACTGGGAACAAGAAAGCAATTAGAACACATGTTAATAATGACGACTTTAGGCTGAAGAGAATACACAGGGGTATACTGTATAGTTCATTCCAACTTTTCTTAGATTTGAATGATATCAAATAAAATTTAATGATGGGATGGTATAGCTACTGAAATCTCCAAAGTATAATGTGAAGAAAACATGAAAGCACTGTAAGTTATGTGATTTAAATATAACTAAATGTTTAAAAAATATAAAGATTAGGCTTTGTGAAACATTATTTTTTCAGAAAATCAGAGAAATAAATTCCTTACCTTCTAAAAACTGAAACAGGCAAACTGAAACTGATGACAAAGTAGGTTTACTGGAAGGATCTTCAGACCTATATTTCATTAAAGAAAACAAAAGAACAATTGAGAGATTACAGCTTTGTCTAATACAGGTTGCTAATTTCTTTGCCTAAAAATACAATCAAGAGTTGAAATTGGGTTTGTCATTTAGTATAGTTACAACATGTCTGCTACATGGATTTTGCTCTTGCAGAATAAGTTACGCTTTTCTTTAAAAATGCAATATCATAAATGATTCATATAATGCAGTGGTTGCACTGGCAAGTGGATTCTTCTCCCACCACTCCCACTCAAGTTCAATGGTAACCAGAAACTATCATCCTAAACATCTGCCTGATGATTTTTTAATAATAAAACATCAAGAAAAAATACAAGTTGAAGGTATATACTAAAAATGTACTATGGACAAAAACCACTATAGTGATTTTAATTTGTACCTAGTTATGTTCAAAATAAAATCAGGGTGACTTTTGAACCAGTGGGCTTCTAATACTGCTTAAACTAAATCATACCACATATATCTAGCATGGATAGCAAAAGCCTCTCATGTCAGAATGAATTGCTATAAGATGTATCAACACCCTAGGATAATTAACAGTAAAAAAACATAAAATTCTTATATCTTACCACATATCCATTCTTGATACCTCATCAAATAACAGAAGACAAAACAATGCGCCAACTTCAGTCACAACAGTACAGTCTTCATGAAATATCAAGGAAACTGAGGAATAAAAAGAAAAATAAATAACTATGAAATATTTTTACTTCTAATAAGAATGGACCTCAAATTAAAAATGCCTTTTTAATGTGAAGGGAAAAGAATGTATCAACCCAGAAAAACTGACATCACTGAAATACTGACTCGAACTTTTGAATATTTTTTTATATTTATAACTTTTTATATTTATAACTTTTTTATATCTTTTATTCCTAAGACCTACATTCAACTATATAAAATACATTCATATATTTTCAGTTAAAATCTTGAAGTATATAATAGGAAAAATAGCATGTTTACAAAGAAAAGATCATTCCAGATAATATATTCCAAACAATAACTAGGACATTATTTATTTTATTATTTATTTTCTGGAAAAATCAAAGAGAAAATGAAAACTTTTAGGATTTTACTTTATAGTTCTGTACTTTCTGAATTTTTTCAATACAGATGTGTAATTTTTCAATTATGTAAAACAAAACAGATAAAAAAGGACCTGAAGTTTGGATTCTTCTCCTGTTACCATTGTGTGTCTGGTTATGACTTACACCAGATAAAGAAGTCTTTCTAGACCTCATTTTCCTCTACAATGGCATAATAAATGTCTATGTTAGTTTCCAACCCTGAAATACAGTACAGGATTCTGTTATATAAATCTAGTAATTCAAAGCAATGCGTCTAACAGGTTATCAAATTATTGTATCCCTTTGACCTACTCACCTATGGACAGAACGATCTTTCTAAAACATATGCTCCCCATTTAGCAACCTCACATGACCCCCTCACTGCCATTTCATCAGTCCCTCCAGGCCCTGCAGGACTACTCTCCTTAAACACCCCACCATTTCCCCTTCACCCAGCATCCCAGATCTAGCCATCCTTAACCCACCACCATCTCAAATACACCATTCTCTCTCACCCATCACTGTGGCTCACTCTAGCGGAAAGTCAATCCTCTCTGTATTGAACTCCTACTACTTCTGCAATTCCAGCTTAGTGGCATACCCCCTGGAAACATTCTCTGATACTTCCCCACACCTCATCTATTCAGCACTTCCTCTGGCACCAGAAATCCAACTATAAATATTACTACACTGCATTTTATATTCACTTGTCAAACCTCTGACTCTACCATAAGCTGCCTGAGGGTCATTCACCATGTGCTCCACAAAGGACAAAAAATTAATTTTGGTCTGAAACCAAATTGTTAATCAGAGATAATATATGTTCACACTGAAGTAATTTTCATAAACAGTGAGACAGGAAAATTCTTTAATAACCAAGAAGGTATAGATTATGTTGCCTTGGAAAGTACCCCAGCAAGTATTCATAAGTTCAATCACTGAATAATTTAAACAAAAATTATAAATGAAAAAGTAAACTGGAGACCAAAGTAAATTAAACTGAGGTTAACAGGAAGATAATTAACAGGATTAAAGAAAACTAGAAATCTAAAACTGCTGCTCTTTCAAATGAACAGTCTGTGAGAACTTATAAAAATTTTACATTCTACTCAAATTTTATGAGTCTAAACATACTTACTCTGTTTAGAACTTTATCTGATTTGGACCTCAACTAATGCTACTGCATCCTATTTCACTCAGCAAGCAGAAACTCTTAGGAAGGGGGGAAAAAACTAAAACAAAATGACCTATAATCTAATAATAAACTTGAACATAATTTCTTTTCACTCTTATATTCCTGATAATAGACAAGGTTAAATATACTGAGATATCTCATGAAGGCACATCTTGTAAAATATGTCAAAGCACTGACTTAAACCTCTAGGAAAGAAAACAGAATAAAATATTAAACACAGTTGCTATAAGATAGAGAGGAAAGAAGATAAAACTACAGGAGATTTTTCCATTAAAGACATTACTAAATTAGAATCAACCTAAAATGTGTTTTAAAAAATACTACAATGTTTAAATGTAATAAATGTATGCTCAGTCATTCATAAAGACCTGGTGTCCATGCCTCACAGGTCAGGCCTGTATCTTTAATGCCAGTCAAATGACGTAAGCAGTGTACTACAAGCAAAGGAAGAGACAGGTCCTGGAAAGAAGGCTGCAGTTTTCTCTCTCCCTAGATAATAGTTTACCTTTGAGTACCAAATGATCAAGGTGCAAAAACACTCATAAACTTTAGCTTTTCTTTCTTTCTTTTTTTTTTTTTTTTGCAGGAGCCAGGTACTTATCCTGGTCGCCCATGGGGTGCAGAGCCCAAGGACTTGGGCCATCCTCCACTGCATTCCCTGGCCACAGCAGAGAGCTGGCCTGGAAGAGGGGCAACTGGGACAGAATCTGGCGCCCCGACCGGGGCTAGAACCCGGTGTGCCGGTGCCGCAAGGCGGAGGATTAGCCTAGCGAGCCGCGGGGCCGGCCAAACTTTAGCTTTCCTTAGCACTAAGGCCCAGTCAGTATCAAGATTAGAAAGAAATATCCATAAAATATTGAGTGTTTTTCCATTAGCAAATTCACTAGTAAACTCCACTGTCCCACTAGTAAAATGGAAAGTAAATATTACCTACAATTAATGAATGAATACTTAAAGCTTAAGACTGATCTCATTATTAACAGAATTTTTGTTCACCTCTGAATAACAGGATCAAGAGAGAAGACTGTTGCGAGAGGGAAACACGCACAACTGGATCAGCACATAGAACCTTCCTCAAGAGCGTGAGGCATGGCTGGGTCAAGCACTCTACCACCTGGCCAGGAAAGAAAACACATAACTATTATTTTCAAAAACTTAAGGTCAGATAAAAGATATCATAATATTAGCTCATTTTTAATTTTATGCCTTTCAGTCAAAAACATGTGAAACAGAAAAGCACCATGATGCAGCAGGTTAAGCTACCACCTGAAAAGTCCACATCCAGTACCAAAGGGTCTGGTTCAAGTCCAAGCTACTCCACACTGCCAATCCAGTTTTCTGCTAATGGGCCTGGGAGGCAGCAGATGATGGTCCTAGTACTTCGGTCCCTGCCAAACACTTGAGAGCTGTGGATGGAGTTTTAGGTTCTTGGCTTCAGCCTGGCCCAGCACGAGCTGTTTGCAGGCATTTGGGGAGTGAACCAGGGAATGGAAGATCCCTAACCCTCCCTTCCCTCTCTCTCTGTCACTCTGCCTTTAAATGAATGAATAAATAAATCTTTTTAAAAATATATGTGAAACTAAAATGCAGATAAAATTAGAAATGACCACTGAAAATACTTCTATGCTTTCTTTGTATTTCTGCTTACACATCTAATAGAACTCTTTTTTAAGATTTTTTATTTATTATTTGACAGGTAGACTTACAGAAAGTGAGAGAGAGAGACAGAGAGAAAGGTCTTCCGTTGGTTCACTCTCCAAATGGCCGCAACAGCCGGAGCTGCACCAATCCGAAGTCAGGAGCCACGTGCTTCTTCTTGGTCTCCCATGTGGGTGCAGGAGCCCACGCACTTGAGCCATCCTCCACTGCTATCCCAGGCCACAGCAAAGAGTCAGACTGGAAGAGGAGCAAACCAGGACTAGAACCCGGCGCCAATATAGGATGCTGGTGCCACCGGAGGAAGATTAACCAAGTGAGCGACAGCGCTGACCCCTAGAACTCTTAAGATTAGTTTTTCTTTATAGAGATTGCAGTTGAAAAAAGAAAAAAATGAATGAGACATTGGGTGTTACTTAGAATTTAAAATCCAAGTACTCACCCAATTCAGCTGAATTCAATTTCAATCTGATTAATAAGAACACTTAACCTATAAAAAACACATCTAGATGTACATTAGTCTTACCTTACCATGCTGACCCACACATTCATTTAAGTATTCAATTATCTTGTCAATTAAGCATAACTTTTTCACCACAGCATGCATTTTAATATCTGTAAAGAAAAAAACTAAAAGTTACCAAAAATTAAGAAAGACAGCCCAAGTTCTTGGGTCCTCGCACCCATGTGGGAGACCTAGAAGAAGCTCCTGGCTTCAGCCTGGCCCAGTCCTGGCTATTGCAGTCATTTAGGGATTGAAACAGTGGATGGAAGATCTCGCTCACTCACTCTCCCACTCTCTCTCTGTAACTCTTTCAAATAATAAATAAATCTTTAAAAAAAATGCAATGAATTTCAATGGACTCTACTTATGAAGAACATAACTTCAAAAAATATATTCACATTACATTTGTAATTACAAGACAATTACAAAATTATACACATATACATATATAGAAGCTGTTTGAGGGCATCTGGGGAAGGAACCAGGGAACAGAAGATCCCTAACCCTCTCTTCCCTCTCTCTCTTGTCACTCTGCCTTTGAATAAATAAATAGTTAGTTATTTACGTATTTGTTGCAAGTATTTAACAACTTGAAATTTTCTCCTATATATTCAGTGAGAAAAACGCACACATACATACACATTAACACACACACACACAGATACTGAACTAGTGGCTATCGGTATAACTAATTCTAACTGCCACGTTTTAAAAAAGGCTTCCATTACTACCTAGTAACATGCAAATGTGTAAAGAACCAGGTAGTCAATACATTGGGCTTTGTTGGCCACATATGGTCTCCACTGCATATCCTTTGGATACTGAGGGTGTGGGGGATTTGTTTTGTTTTGTTTTTTTAACAGCTCTGAAGATGTAGCCCTTAATTTGAGGGCCATGTAAAGAAAAATAGGTCACAGGCAAGACCTGGTCCAACACTACTACACACAGCACTGTAAAATTCTGTTACCAATAGGACGGCAATTATCACCCTTAAAAGACATCACCTTGCATAATCACAGCTAACTGTTCAGCAGCTGACTTTCTCAAAAGAAGATCAACATCATCTGAGGTGAAAATTTCATAAACCCTTTCAACTGTCTCCAACTACAAATCAAGAAAAAAGAACAATTACTGTTATCATATGTTCCCAATTATCCAATAAAATCATACGGTTCATGGCATAAAAATAAAATAAAAGCTCAAAAAGTCAACTTACTTAAGTAACCACTAAATTTACATGTAAATTTGCAACAGCGCTGTGCCAGGTCAGGAAGGAACTTGGATTCTAAAGGAGAGCTATCATGTCAAATAAGCATGTCATCATAACACACATTTCTGTTAGAAGTCATTCGTAACCCAGCAGTCCATTAGCTACCCTAAGAGCATCACAGAAAATACTTGCTTTTACAAGTCATCACTAATTTCTTTCATCAAATTGTATTAACCTAATATTGTAATCAAAAAATTACATTTCTAGTGCATATAGTAAATTAAAAGGCATATAATGCTGGCTATGGTGGGCACTCAACATAAACAAATGTATCCTATCCAGAAGTTGGTTAAAGCCAGAACATAATTTCAAAATGGCTCCGAATCACCACACCTCTTCTCTCTTCAGGATATGCACAAATTAGAACGTCACATAAAATATGAGATATACAAATGCATCAAATAATCATGAAGTAATAAACTCAAAAGTTACAGTACCTTAATAACCAGTTCCCTTCTGTCATCCAATTTGAGTTCAATAGGTTTTTTCACAATAAATAAATTAGTAACTCTGGAGAGAACTCTGGCATCTATTAAAGGGCGCTTTGTGTCAGCCCCTTCTTCATTTGTAAGATGAAATGCTAAAGCTTTAATGCTAGTGAACGAACTCTAAAACACAAAGTATTGAAGTCAACATTTTCACATTCAGATGTCTATAAGAAAGGCCCATAGTCACAAATAATTATCTATCCAAAGTATAATTATCAGTTATACTATATTGACATTAATAATATATTTTACTTGTTCCATTAAAAAATCTTTCCTCTATAACTACATTTATTCAACTTTATAATATTTATAAATGAACATCAGAAACAAAGAATAAGCAATATAATTATAAATGAGACTCACTGAGACTAAACATCACAGTCAACTTCAAGAAGTAGATCTGAAAAATCAATTCTCTAACTCTTGACTTCAACTCTAGTGATCTTTCTCAACCATAAAAAGTATTTACAGTGGCCAGCGCTGTGGCACAGTAGGTTAAAGCCCAGCCTGCAGCGCCAGCATTCCATATGGGTGCCAGTTCGAGACCCAGCTGCTCCACTTCCAATCCAGTTCTCTGCTATGGCCTGGGAAAGCAGTAGAAGATGACGAAACTCTTTGGGCCCCTGCACCCACATGGGAGAACTGGAAGAAGCTCCTGGCTCCTGGCTTCAGATCAGCTCAGCTCTGGCCACTGTGGTCATTTGGGGAGTGAACCAGGGGAATGGAAGACTTTCTCTTTCTCTCTTTCCCTCCCTCTCTCCCTCTCTCTCTGGCTCTACATCTCTCTATAACTCTGTCTTTCAAATAAATAAAAATAATCTTTAAAAAACAAAAGGTATTACAGACCCCTAACCAGAGTCCAAATATTAAGTCAAACCTCAGTACAATGACTATACTAATAACTAGTAGTAACACTAAAATTATGAAAATCTTCTTATATTAGGGGTCAGATTCTTCTCAAATATGAAAACACACATAATTTAGATTCCCATCAGAATACTTCATTTGGAACAGATTAGGATTAAGGTCATTTGAGTGGTGAGCTGGGAGATTTTCAAGAAAAGTTTAAATGCTGCATGCCACTAGATGATGAATGGGAAAAATAGAAAAACCTTCAAGTGGACAAAATTCACTAGAGGTGTGAGATACTGAGACTATTACGTATCTGTCACTCCTCTGATAGACTCGTGAACTACATGGAAATGGGGCAAATGTCAAGCAGCAATGCATGTTGCCAGCATATGCATAAAGCAACAATTAAAGCATGCATACTAAGGGAGGCCTCTCTGCTACAGATTAGATTGGATCAGCTGCCTTGCTATGCATGGACCTGCCTCCATGAAGTTCCTCATATCCTAACACTTATGTCCCTTTATTACAATTAATAGTAAGATGTAACTGATAATAAGCTCTAATGTCACAATAAATGCCAGATTCTAGAAAGGCAGAACACACGTCTGTGCTGAGTGTTGCTACATTCCGACAGCTGACCACAGCTTGTAGGTACACAGTAGACAATAATACTGCATCTAACAAGAAGCAGATATTCACTGCAATGTAACTAGTCATCGGATGACTGATATTTACTCCAAGATGGCATCAAGAGTTAGGCAAACGTTCTCCTCCCATTTGCTGAGACACTTCATGAAAATAAGAGAAGCTAGACACCTACCTAGTGGTGTACTTTTGTTCCTTTCATACCATGCCAATGACAGCAAAACTGGAGCTGCCAGTTTAGAGGTAGTTACAACCCTGGTAAGGAAGGCTACAGATGGGATACGAAAAGCATATATTTATGCATCTCCTCAGGCATGTAAATTTAGCATCTTTAAATACATATATATTTAAATATTTATATACATATATATACACATATACATATATCCTATTGTAGAGGGAGAGCGAGTGAGCAAGCATCTCTCTTATACATTGGTACACTGCACAAATGCCCACAATGGCCAGAGCTGTCATGAGCCAAAACGCAACCCAGTTATCCAATGTGGGTGGCAAGAACTCAATTACTTAAGTCATCATGGCTGTCCCCAGAATCTGCACTGGCGGGAAGCTGGGGTCAATCAGGAGCCTGAGCCAGAAATCAAAACCCAGGTACTCCAATAGGGGACGCAGGTATCTTAACCACCAACCACCCCTTAACAAATATTTTATGAGTATATTTAATATACTCCATGAAGTTCTTAAGACAAAGATTAGCCAATGCATACAGCTCCTGTCTACATGGAGTTTATGGATAGGATAGGGCAGAATTAATCAAACAACAACAAAAAAAAAAAGAAAGAAAGAAAAGAAAAAATTCTGCATAATAGAGGATTGCCTTACTCAAGAAGAGGTCAGGCCTGGCCCTCAGTTCCTGGGAAGGTCTACCTGATAGGAATGTCTGTTTTTCCTGGGGACTTGAACAAGAAGTGAACCACGGAATCAGGGTTTGTAAGAGTAAGGACTACTAACCAGCCCACTCATACACACACCACTGAGGGACTATGGTTAATACGTGTGGAAGACACTCCCTAAGGGGCAGGAGCACCATGAGGCCATGTGACCAACTTCTTCCTGCAGTATCCACAACTTTACCTTTTACAAATACAGATATTTCCAGTTTGTTTCTTTGACTTTCCTCCTCCCACTCTCAAGTTTTACTTTATTTCTACCTAATTATTTTTCAGTCTGATCATCTGAAGTGAGACTGGGGAAAACAAATTAAACTAGTGTCAAAGAACATCTGTATGATCCCCTTAGCCTTTAAAGCAGACTATGCATCATTGCTTATCTATTTTGACTCCAAGCTTGCTTCCCCTTCTCAGTAGGAAATATCTAACCACAGTTACCTAAAGAGAGTAACAAAGATTCTTGTTGCACTGACAGAGAAGAAAAACAATGTATTTCTCCTTCTGTTCCTACAGCTAAAATGATCCCTATATGTCACTCTGGTATCTGAGGAGATTGGGGATCTACACTTTATAAAAATAATTTTCAGAAAAATGGTTAGAAGAGAATCACTCAGGAAGGCAAATATTTTCTAGAGAAGAGAAGATGGGAAAACATCATACCTTTTGTAATGTGTGTATCACTCTCCAGCTTGCCTGCAACACTACTGAACAGTCCCCTAGTACGGCTCTTTAACATGGACTGATCTGCCTAGGGATAAGCAGGCTATAATATGGATGAAATACTTCAGGAAAGCATCCAACAGACTTTGCTTAATTCCATGCATTACTTTCCTCTCTCCCTCTAAAATGAAGGATCACCTTCCTTTATACTCTTTAGTTCTACTGCTTCATACTGATGTCACTATTACACTTAAGCGTTTTCATTAATCTTTTACCCTCAAAGGGTCACCGAGTACTCACGATGGTTTTTTCACAAGCAGAAGCCGCAGCATGGACTTTAATCGAGTAGTACAAGGAGAATCTCCTGCCCTGCCTCAGGACCCGCTTTGCTTAGCAGGAGAATGCAGTTACCCAAAGGGTCTTCTGTGTCGGCATAGCCCTAATAGACATTTTTAAAAGAGAAATTTGTGTGCAATTTTATACATATTGACTTTCAACTAAAAAATTATAATGTATTTGTTGAATAACTCATACATTTATTTCAATTCAGTAAAAGTCACTTTCTCAAAATAACCTACAAAAGGTAAAAAGCCTAAAGAAAACTTCATTTGAAAAATAATACTGCAGGTGCCAGTGCTGTGGCTCAGTAGGTTAATCCTCCACCTGCTGTGCCAACATCCCATATGGGCGCCAGTTCTAGTCCCGGCTACTCCTCTTCTGATCCAGCTTTCTGCTATGGCCTGGGAAAGCAGTAGGAGATGGTGTCAGCAGATGCTTGGGCCCCTGCACCCAGCGGGAGACCTGAAGAAGCTCGTGGCTCCTGGCTTTGGATCAGTGTAGCTCTGGCCAATGTGGCCATTTGGGAGTGACTCCGGCAGATGGAAAAGACCTTTCTCTGTCTCTCCCTCTCACTGTCTGTAACTCTCTCAAATAAATAAATAAAATATTTTTTAAAAAATAATAATAATATTGGAGGGGCCAGCAATGTGGCATAGCAGGTAAAACCACCACCTGTAGGGCCAGCACCCCAAATGGGCACCAGTTTGAGTCCCATATGCTCCACTTCCAATCCAGCTCTCTGCTATGGCCTGGCAAAGCCATGGATGATGGCCCAAGTCATGGGTCCCTGGCACCCATGTGGGAGACCCAGAAGAAGCTCCAGGCTCCTGGCTTCAGATAGGCCCAGCTCCAGCCATTGTGAACACTTAGGGAGTGAACCAGAGGATGGAAGACCTCCCCCTCCCTCCCTCCTTACCTCTCTCCTTCTCTCTCTCTGCCCCTACCTCTCTGTAACTCTGTCTTTCAAATAAAGAAATAAATCTTTAAAAAAAAATAACACTGGAGGCGTAGTGGGTAAAGCCACTGGCTGGTGACACTGGCATCATGTGGGAGGGTTTGGGTTCTGGCTACTGTACTTCTGATCCAGCTTCCTGCTAATAGTCCACGAAAAACAGCAGAAGATGGCCCAAGTGTTGGGTCCCTGCTACCCACATAGGAGACCCAGATGAAGTACCTGGCTTCAGTCTGGCCCAGCCTTGGCCATTGCAGTCATCTAGGGGAGTGAACCAGTAGATGGAAGATCTCTCTCACTCCCCCTCTCTCTCCCTCTGCCTCTCCATCCCTCTCTCTATATGTAACTTTTTCAAATAAATAAGTCTTAAAAAAAAAAAAAAACTCTTTTCCAAGGTTCTAGTAGTAGTACCTCTCCGAGATGAGGCACTTCACAGATTTGAAGCCTCTCCCCTCCAGAATACAAAAATGAAGTACAACAAATATTATATGCATGAACAGAATTGTAGGGCGTTAGGTTGTGACACAGGCATCCCATACAGGTGCTGTTTCATGCTCCGGCCGCTCCACTGCCAATCCAGCTCCTTAATGAACCTGAAAAAGCAGTGGAGGATGCCCAAGGACTTGGGCCCCTGCACTTATGTGAGAGACGCAGAAGGAGCTCCTGGCTCCTGGCTTCTGGCTGGCCCAGCACTAGCCATTGCAGTCATTTAGGAAGTAAATGAGAGGATGGAAGCTCTCTCCCCCCGCCCCCACCTTGTTACTCTGGCTTTCAAATAAATAAATAAATCTTTTTTGAAAAAATCAAGGCCTGGGCTTTCATAACAGAGAATTATACCTGTTACCTGGCATTGACTAATTGACTATCTCTGTCTTTCATCCAAGTTCAGGACTGCTAAAAAGGTTTTCTTTCCAAGAGCTTGTAAATCAAGGTATCATTCTTTTTTTTTTTTTTTTTTTTTTTTTTTTTTTTTTTTTTTTTTTTGAAAGAGTTACAGAGAGAGAGAGAGAGCGAGAGAGGTCTTCCATCCACTGGTTCCCTCCCCAACTGGCCGCAATGGCCAGAGCTGCGCTGATCCAAAGCCAGGAGCCACGAGCTTCTTCCAGGTCTCCCATGTGGGTGCAGGGGCCCAAGGACTTTGGCCATCTTACACTGCTTTCCCAGGCCATAGCAGAGAGCTGGATTGGAAGTGGAGTAGCCAGGTCCCGAACCAGTACCTATATGGGATGCTGGTATCTCGGGCCAGAGTGTTAACCCACTGCACCACAGCACCGGCCCTTCAAGGTATCATTCTAATCATATATATATATGCATGGACAGATTTCCTGAGGCAAGCTAGTTTTATAATGTTTAATGTAAAAGCACTGATTGCGTTGCCTGAAAGCCTTTTTATAAGGTTGAGTTCTATTTTTCAGTCAATTTCAAGTGCCTGCACCTCACATTTTAACCTCCCACCCAGATACATAAAGTACAATCTAGCTGTCCTGGTTCAACCATCTTCCGGCAATAAGACAGTCACCCACTTCCTGTTAACTTATCCACAGTGCTTTGATGGCTTTTCCTCATTTTTCTCACATCAACTTTCTGCTGTAAGTACACTTTTAAATCAACCACAATTTAGCCAAAGATAAATGGTATCCCAGAGATGAACTGCACAGAGTACCTGTAGTACTGGAATGACAGGACAGAGAGACTCAATAAACTTGTTCCAAGTCAGTGCTGTCATCATCAGTCGTCCCTGAAGCAGATACAACAGGATGGCCTTGGCAGCCGCACTCACCTACTCAACAACACAGAAACAACAATCTAGTAAACAAGATGTCCCACTAAGTCACCTTACATACACATAGCAGTTCCTAAAACCTGAAGGACACTATCATTAACCTCTTTCCTCAGGTGCTCCCATTTCCACAGTATTATATTTTAATTTTTCAAAATTATATTAATAAAAAGAGAACAGATTTCATGTATTCATAAATAATTCTATGGAGATATACAGTATCATCTTATACCATTTCTCAAATAGTTTCTCTCCATTAATGACATCCACAGTTTTATGTTAAGATGTATTCTCCCACTGAATAAAACTTCCTTACTGAAATAACCTGCTTATAACGACTATTGTATAGTTCTTCATATCTCAGATGAAAAACATTAGTAACCATTTGACCTGAACTCTTAATCAAGTGTGCTCTATATTTTGTTTCCAACACTTTACCATTCCTTTTTATTTAAATAATAACTCAACTGGATCAATATATAAAGATGTTTAATTTCAGGACATGATCATGACTTGGCTGAATATCCAGTTGCAGTAATCTCTTGCACTTATTTCTAAACACGTTATACCTCATTTTTGGGTTCTTGTATGCCAAATGCAGAGATTTCATATAGAACTTTTGGATGAAGTAGAAAATTAATTCCATTACAAAGCGAAGACACAGGTTTAGTGACATTATGGACACCTAAACATTCCTGTAAAATTATACAAAATATTGTTAGTTAGCGACCGATTTTTCTAAAAAAAAATCTCTCTCCTATTCAGAATTCAATTCCAATTTTAGTGCTCACTCCAAACTTTTTTGCAACTAATAGAAGACAAAAGATTCTCTGCCTAGAGTGTTTTGAGTCTGTATGAAATATATGTTATTATTACCTTCTGCCAACAAGTATAGTCTTGATAATGAAATAACCAAACTGCTGAAATAACGATAACCTCTTAAGGTTGTTCATAATAACAATAATGCTATAAAACACATTTATCCTGGGAGCTGGCACTGTAGCATAGCAGGTAAAGCTGTCACCTAAAGTGCCAGCATCCCTTATAGATACTGGTTCGAGTCCAGCTTGGTGCCCTTCTGATCCAGCTCTCTTCCTGTGGACTGGGAAAGCCAAAGATGATGGCCCAAGTCTAGGTGCCCCTGTACCTGTGTGGGAGACCCGGAAGAAGCTCCAGACTCCTGGCTTCAGATCAGCACAGCTCCGGCAGTTTGGGGAATGAACCAAAAGAACCTCTCTCTCTCTCTGCCTCTGCCTCTCTATAACCTCTCTGCCTTCCGAATAAATAAATAAATTTTAAAAAATACATTTATCCTAAAGTGCTTGCATTTTACTTATCAAGGTTTGAAAAACAGAAAATAAATTTTATCAAAATACTTAAGTTATGGGCGAAGAGAAAATGACATGAAAATTAAGTAGTGACTATGCCATATCTCAACTATCACAAATTCTTTTCCTCAATTATTGATAGAGAATAATATTTTAGAGGCTATTTCAAGTGAGAAAAGAAAAAAGCTACCTGAAATAGTAATAGAATTTAAAATAATATACAGGGTTAATATGCAATCAATAGTGAGTTAGAAACATAATATTTTTCATCTTGCAAATTACTTCCTAACCACTACCAACAATTCAGAGGTCAAAGATTTACATACACAGAAACTCACACAGAGAGCCAGCGCTGTGGCTTAGCGGGTAAAGCCACCGCCTGTAGTGCCAGCATCCCATATGGGCGCGGTTTGTATCCCGGCTACTCCACTTCCAATCCAGCTCTCTGCTATGGCCTGGGAAAGCAATAGAAGACAGCCCAAGTCCTTGGTCCCCTGCACCTGCATGGGAGACCCAGAAGAAGCTCCTGGCTCCTGGCTTTGGATCAGCACAGCTCTGGCCATTGTGGCCAATTGGGGAGTAAACCAGTGGATGGAAGACTTCTCGCTCGCGCTCTCTATGCCTCTCCTTCTCTCTTTTTTTTTGTAACTCTTTTAAATAAATAAACCTTAAAACACACACACACTCATATTTTAATCTTTTCTTTTCATTTGTTAACTTCATGACATAGACAATAGTTTAATATTCCACACTTTTGCAAGAGCTAACCTGTCAGCCCTAGGTTTAAAACCAGCTGTAGGGCTGGTGCTGTGGTGCAGCAGGTTAAGCCACCACCTGAAGCACTGGCATCCCAACTGGACTTCAGTTGGAGTCCCAGCTGCTCCAGTTCCCATCCAGCTTCCTGCTAATGCAACTGGGAAAGCAGCAAAGGATGGACCCCGTGCACCCATGAAGCTTCTGGCTCCTGGCTTCAGACCAGCCCAGCCAGATTGCTCCAGCCATCGCAGCCATTTGTGGAGTGGAACCAGTGGATAGAATCAATCAATCAATCAATCTCTCTCTCTCTCTTCCATCTATCTTCTAAGTCTTATTCTATGAAACTAGCTGTAATTTGCTTCCTAAAAATACTTTTAAAATCTGAGTTTTCAATTTACTCACCCATAAAATCAGAATGATCTGACTCCTTAATGAAACACCTTTCTTTCCTATTACTAAATATACCAACCTGTTTCTATTAGCCTTCTTAAAAGAGAAAAAGTACTGTGAATCTTATCAAAGACTAATCCCTACTCGATAAACTTCATTCTTAGTAATACCAATTTATCACTCACCTCTCCTCCATGGTCCAAGTACTTGTAGGAGTTTACCGTCCTTGGACATTACTTCCTCATTCCTCAGACTCTCTCCCACCCACACCAGTGCAGTTTCTTTCCCTACCACTCCATAGAAGCTTCTCAACTTAGACACCAAGTTCCTCTCTAAAGCCAAACCCAGTGGGGATCATCCCGTCTGTCATGTGACTCTATCTCACCTCACTGACAACTCCTGTCTCCTTTTCTGGCTCCACTTGCCATTCACCCCCTCTACCTGCAATCTTTCCTTCTCTGCAGGTTCTTTCTGTTGTTGTTGTTGTTATTAATTTGAAAGGCAGAGTTACAGAGAGAAGGAAAAACAGAGAGATCTTCCACTCACTGGTTCACTCCACAAATGTCTGCAAAAGCCAGGAGCTCAGAACTCCACCTGGGTTTTCCAACCAGGACTCAAACTGCTGCTCCAATATGGGATGCCAGCATCGTAAGCAGTGGCTTACCCAATATGTCACAATGTTGGCCCCGTCTGCTGGTTTTTTTCAGGAGGATTTCAACACATTAAGATGAAAATACACCTTCATGACAAACCTCTGCAATGAACAGATGAATGGGTAAACAAAATGCGGTGTACACATACAATGGTGTACACTATTAAGCCTTAAAAAAGAATGGAATTCTGATACATGCTACACATGGAAGAACCTTAAGGCCATTAAGAACCTTAAGGCATTGGGCTAAGTGCAACAAGCCAGACACAAAGAGAAAATATCTTATGATTCCACTTACATGGGTTTCCTAGAGTAGTCAAATTCCTAGAGACGCAAAAATGGAATCCTGGTTGTCAGGAGCGGGGACAGAGGAGATTGGCTTCCTGAGTACAAAGTTTCAGATTGGGAAGATGAAAAAGTCCCGGAGACAGGCAATGGTGATGGTGGTTTAAGAACTGTGAAAGTATACTTATGCCACTGAACGCATATTTAATAATAGCTTAAATGGGTAAATTTTATGCTATGAATATTTACCACAATAAAATCAGATTCACATAGCTAAGAAAAATTAGTGTACTAAGGAATTCGATCCAATTAACTAAAAAAGATGTGAAAAATATGGAAGAGGGTTTAAAAGACACAAACTCGTAAGATAAAAAGGCCTAATAAACATCTGAATTCCACTTGGGATCACAGCAAGAATGAGAACAAAGCAATATTCAACTAATAATGACTGACAATTATTCAGAGATGAAGGTAAATATTAGTGCTCAGATTAGAATCCTAAACAAGATAAAAATAAGATGTACATGAAAATAGACAAAAACAAATTGTAGAACACTAGAGACAAGAAAAAGATATTAAAAGAAACTAGAGTGGCCAGTGCTGTGGTGTAGTGGGTAAAGCTGCTGCCTGCAGTGCCAGCATCCCTTATGGGCGCTGTTTAGAGACCCAGCTGCTCCACTTCCGATCCAGCTCCCTGCTATGGCCTGAGAAGCAGTAGGAGATGGCCCAAGTCCCTGGACCCCTCCACCTGTATGGGAGACCCAGAAGAAGCTCCTGGCCTCTGGCTTCGATCAGCGCAGCTCTGGCTATTGGGCCAACTGGGGAATGAACCAGCTCTCTGCCTCTCCTCTCTGTGTAACTCTGACTTTCAAATAAATAAATAAATTTTAAAAAAGAAAAAGAAAAAAAACTAGAGGGAGAGGTCACAAGATGGCACTGTAGCAACAGGACGATCCAAGTCATGTGGGGCAAAATAGATAATTAAAAAGGAGAAGATTTACGCCAGAGATAGAGCAGTGGAAAATTATCAACGTGAAGCCCAGGAGAGCAACTGACTGGGCAAGTCTACACCAAAGGAGCAAATAAGAAAGGGGACAGCGAAGACTTGCACTGGGGAGGTTGGCGCCAGCCCCCAGCAGACCAGGTGAGACAGGAAACCGTGGGTCCATGGAGCTGGAAATAGCAGCAAGAAGGAGAGCTAGGCGAACTGCTTCTGAAGTTCCCCACAGTAAAAAAGAGAAGGTATAGAGGAACAGAGAGGTCGGGCAACCCACTGCCCTCTCCCCCTCCCCACCTGGACCTGCAGCCAGGTGGAAGAAGCCATTTTGTTAGCTCACATTTTCGAACTTAAGCAGGGGACTGCTGCCTTTCCCTCCTAGCACACGCCCATCAAGTGCAGGGGTCACCTCACCACACACCCCACCCAGAAACGAGGACCACAGCATTTCTGAATTTCTTCCTCACCAAGCAAGTATTAAAAGGAGAATTCTTGAATACCCACCCAGACCAAGTGGGATTTATCCCTGGTATGCAAGTATGGTTCAACATTCACCAATCAATGTGATACAACATAAACTGAAGAACAAAACCATATGATTATCTGAAAAGGTGCAGAGAAAGCATTTGATAAAATATAACAATCTTTCATGATGAAAATTCTAAGAAAACTGGGTACAGAGAAACATTCTTCAAGACAATCAAGGCAATTTATGAGAAAGCCATGGCCAGCATCCTACTGAATAGAGAAAGCTGGAAGCAGTCTCACTGAGATCAGGAAGTAGACAAGGATGCCCACTCTCACTACTTGCTATCAATATAGTCCTGGAAATTTTAGCCAGAGCCATTAGGCAAAAAAAAAAAAAAAAAAATCAAAGGGAAACAAATTGGAAAGGAGGAAGTCAAACTAACCCTATTTGCAGATGACATGAGTCTAAATATAGCTGATCCAAAAGACTACACCAAGAACTACTGGAACTCATAGAAGAGTTTGGTAAAGAAGGATATAAAATCAACACACACAAAAAATCAATAGCCTTTGTATAAACAGACAATGCCATGGCCTATTCACAATATCTACCAAAAAAATCAAATACCTTGGAATAAATTTAACCAATGATGTCAAATATCTCTATGGTGAGAACTATAAAACATTAAAGAAAGTAACAGAAGATACAAAAAAAATGGAAAAATCTTCCAGGTTCATCAATTGGAAAAATCAATATCATCAAAGTATCCGTTCTTCCAAAAGCAATTTATAGATTCAATGAGATACCAAACAAAATACCAAAGACATTCTTCTCAGGTCTAGAAAAAATAATGCTGAAATTCATATAGAAACATAGGAAACTTCAAATAGCTAAAATGATCTTATACAACAAAAACAAAGCCAGAGGCATCACAATACCAGATTTCAAGACATACTACAAGGCAGTTAAATCAAAACAGCCTGGTACTGGTACAAAACAAATGGATAGACCAATAGAAGAGAAAAGAAATGACAGATATCAATCCAAGCATCTACAACCAACTTATATTTGACCAAGAAGCTAAAAGCAATCCCTGGAGCAAGGACAGTCTCTTCAACAAATGGTGCTGGAAATATTAGTTCTCCACATGTAGAAGAATGAAGCAAGACACCTACCTTACACTTTATACAAAAATCCATTCAAAATGGATTAAAGACCTAAGTCTACCACCAAATTATCAAATTATTACATAACATTGGGAAAACCCTGAAAGACATTGGCACAGGCAAAGGGTTCTTGGAAAAGACCCCAGAGGCACAGGCAATCAAAGCCAAAATTAACAAATGGGATTGCATCAAATTGAGAAGCTTCTGTACTGCAAAAGAAACACTCAGGAAAGTGAAGAGGCAACCGACAGAATGGGAGAAATTATTTGCAAACTATGCAACTGATGAAGGATTAATAACCAGAATATATAAAGAGATCAAGAAACTCCACAACAACAAAACAAACAACCCTGTTAAGAAATGGGCCAAAGATTTAAACACATATTTTTCAAAAAGGAAATCCAAATGGCCAACAGGCACATAAAAAAATGTTCAGGATCACTAGCTGACAGGGAAATGCTAATCAAAACCTCAATGAAGTTTTACCTCACCCCAGTTAGGATGGCTTTCATATAGAAATCAACAAACCACAATTGCTGATGAAGATATGGGGAAAAAGGTACTCTAATCCACAGTTGGTGGGAATGTAAAACTAAAACCACTATGGAAATCAGTTTGGAGATACCTCAGAATTCTGAATACAGACCTACCATCCCACTCCTGGGAATTTACCCAAGGGAAATTAAATCAGCCATTAAAAGAGTTATCTGCATCCCCATGTTTATTGCAACTCAATTCACAATAACTAAGACATGGAATCAACCTAAATGCCCATCAATTGAAGACTGAATAAAGAAATTATGGGGGGCCAGTGCTGTGGCACAGCAGGTAAAGCCACTACCTGCAATGCCGGCATCCCATATGGGTGCCAGTTCATAGTATCCTGGCTGCTCCATTTCCCATCCAGTTCCCTGCTATGGCCTGGGAAAGCAATAGAAGATGGCCCAAGTGCTTGGGCCCCTGCACCCAAGTGGGAAACCAGAAGGAAGCTCCAGGCTCCTTCCTTTGGATCAGCACACCTCTAGCCACTGTGGCCATCTGGGGAGTGAACCAGCAGATAGAGACCCCTCCCTTCCTCTCTCTCTCTCTCTCTCTCTCTCTCTGCTTCTGCCTCTCAGTAAATCTGCTTTTCAAATAAATAAATAAATAATTAAAAAAAAAAAAAAGAAATTATAGCGGTTGGTGCTGTGGCTCAGTGGGTTAACGCCCTGGCCTGAAGCGCTGACATCCCATACGGGCGCCGGTTCTAGTCCTGGCTACTCCTCTTCTG